ACGCATTTATAGCCGCTGGTGTCGATTCACGCTTGTTTTCTCTCCGGCGTGGCAGATGTAAGGGCTGTCGGTGCTCCGGAAATGTGTGTACTGAAGGGCGTGATTATCAATTTTTTTGATGTCTCTTGTGATGACAACCATTGTTTGTATGGCATTATCTTGTTGGAGGGCACCCGATTTTTCTTCTTCGCAGATATTCTTGTTTTCCCTCAAAAAGAAAACTTCAAATGGTTTATGTTCGCACTCATTTGTAATATCCGTCTTAACGCTGTTGCTCCTTGCAGAGTCATTCATGTCTCCGAATTCGCGGGTTGTAGTCTCGCCATCGCCCTGCACCATCGTCACCTCACAAACTGCAGTTTCCACGCTGTTTGCTGGATTCATATCCGCACAGTTGTCATATCTCGGTTTTCTGTTCTTTTCAAACGCTGCAGCGGGCGAAATGACCTCCTGTCGGTGTTGCTCCCTAAACGCATGCATTCCCCGTCGCCGCAATATTTTAATTCGAGCATAGCAGACAAGCAGCGCAAAGGAGCACACAAAAAGTGGCACGACAAAAAAAAGAAATATGGCTAATGAATCCATAATATTACCAACAGTACATGAGGAGACGATACCAAGGGGTTCAGAGGAGCAAAGAGCGGTACAATTTGCGGAGCTCCAGCATATTTGAGAGGAAAAAAGCTGCACTCCCTTCTTACCAGACGTCAAATTAAAATGCACTGTTGCCACATTATCAAAAGCAATAAACCCTTCTCGCGCCTTCAAGGACTTGTTTCGACCGTTAATGCTGGCACTAAATATTCCATTTCTGTCGTCAGTATCACACATTCCCTTAAGATATGTGATGTCGTACTCGATGCCAATCCACTCACCGCGAGAAATAGACTTGGCCAAAAAATGATTGGAATCAATGTGACATCGGCGAGGAAAGACACCCGTTTCTGATACGGCGCCGTGCAAAAACAGCAGCGCAAAAAAAATAAGCCTTCTAACGTTGAGCATCGACACCTGTCACCCGGCCCCCCTACCACCACCACCTCCTCCTCCTCCTTGCTGTTACGTATGAGAGGCACAATCCAATTCCCTCTCCTCCCCCCAGAAAAAAGAAACCTCAAATTGTATCTTTACTTACTCCCCTCAAATAAAACCCTGTTTCCCAGAGGGTTCCCTCTTGTTTTGTTGTTGTTTCAAGTTAGCCGCGGCAAAAGAAAAGGAAAACAAATGGAAAGCGAAATAATGAGTTGATCTCAATATATATATATATATAAATGTTTGTGTGTGCGTGCACTGTTGTGCTAAAATGTGAGATGATTCTCATGGCCATTCCCCCTTCCCCCAGAAAAAAAAATTCAATAAAAGCGCCAAAAGAGGCCGTTGAGAAGAGAGTGAAAGCAAATGTGCGTCACGGCTCCCAGCCCCTTTCCAACCCATTCGCACCGAGTCACTCCACTTGGCTGGGAAGACCGAAGAACCACCACAATAACAACAACAAAAATAAGTCAAAAAAAAAAACTTAAGCTTTCTTTTTGGCAATCATCACATTATGATGCTTTTTTTCCCCTTCTCTTTTTCGTCAACAATTCACTTCTCAGGATTTTTCAGCTGTAACGCAACACTCGGTGGAAAAAGAGTAATCACGGCTCTCTCACAAGAAACATAGAAAAAATTGCATGTAGTAATTGCGGCAGGATGCACCCATCACCACTTCAAGCTCCTTACACCCCCATTGTTCAATGTCGCCTCAAATTCTTGTTGACGATCATGAAAAACGCAGCACCAGAGGGGCGTTCCGACCCTTTTCTCCACCTCCCTAAAGGCAGCGAGGGAGAAGCAAAGCGGCTCACCCTCCTTGCGATCAGGAGCGCCCGTCACATCCACTCTCGATTCAGTCCCGCTGGCCCGCTGCCCCACGCATGAAAACAAATAACTGCCAAATATGGCCTTTACAGCGGCAATTGTTTCCAGGTTAGAAGTTAGATTACCACTTCTCACCTGGCCGCCGCCGTTGAGACAGCCGTCTGGGCACGCCATCAATTCAATAAAAGTATAGGATGAAACCGATGCCAGCTTCCGTTTCAGGCCCCGTACAATGTTTTGTATGTGTTGGAATCCGTAGGCAACACAATATACTTCGCCGGGATTGCTGGGGCTTGTCGCCACGTGATGGTTGGCATTCCGCTTCATCTCATAGAGAATGTCGTCTCGTGAAAATGACAAATTATGTACATTTTCAGCCACGTACTGCATCGCAAAACGGTGGTAGCCGCCGCTTCCTTCCATATTCGCCGCAAGGACGCTACTCGATTCCTTCAGCAATGGGGGAGGAAGGAATTCAAAACTGGAGTTTAACGGAGCTTCCCAGGGGATAGAGGCGTCTGTTTCCATCATCCATTCCATAAGTTCTTGCGTGCTCAGTACAAAATCCGTATAACGTTCATTACCGTCAATAGATGTATCCCTCGCCGCCTCCAGTTTCCGGTCAAAACATGGTTGGACTGAGATGTGGCATAATTGTGGGAAGACCCGTTTGGCATAGCAGCCTGCGATGCCCTGAGGAGACATCACCGGGCACAACAACGGAAGAATCGCAGAGCCCTGCTTCTCGCAGTAGCACACCCAACCTGGACAGGCCGATACAATCATCGGTAATTTGTCCCTCGCATGCTGTAGCCTATGACAATACTCCTGGGCTGTCTTCTCAACGGAAATATGTTGAGCCCATCGGAGATCTGAAACGTACTGAGATTTTAGGACGGTGCGGAAAAAACCACTTATGATGTGGAAGGCCCTTCGAGAATCGACCTTCAAGTGGGCGGCGATAGAGGCGGCTGACTGATCACTGATGGTAACAAGAAAAGGACGGTCCAGTTCGGAAGCGCGGACTTTAATAATTTCAGCACGACTTTGAGAAGTAACAAGAATCGTCTCTGCCGTCGTGACACATCCGCTGCAAGCCAAACAGTCCTGGAGTGTTATCTTCACCACCTCGTTGCCGGAGGCATGGCGTTGAACCGAGCCGTCTGCGCCACGCTGTAGCCTCGTTGGGAGAGTGCACGCCTCTGAGGGGGCGATGTAGTCCATCCCCGCCAACATGAGAGAGGCGGAAAAGTTAGAGGTCGACATGAGGACGCTCCTGTCAACAACTCCGGTGCGGAAAGAAAAAAAAAAAAGACAACAGAAGGAGACTGAAGGGTCAAACACAAAATTCATCGCAATAAAGAGGCCTCCGGAAACAGGACGACGCACGTTGACGCCACACGGCACCAAATGCCCTGGAGAAGCAATAAAGTGGAAAAAAACAACTAAAAAACGTCTTGCCAGACGGAGAATCCTCCTCCCCCTCGCACACACGCACACCCACACAACAGCTATCATGGAAATAGTTCCACAAATAAATAAATAAATAAATAAAAATGAAGGTGGGAACCTAAGAAAAAAAAACCCACCAACGACAACAAGAAAATACTCAATCACAAAAATAAAAGTAAAATAAAATCGGCGAGCTGCAAATATATACATATATATTTTTTAAAAAAAGTAAATATCAGTACAAGATAGAGGAACAACGGCAACAACAACAAAAGAAAAAAAACTGTCATCGGCATCATCTCTCGTTTTCTTCGACGCTTTCCCACAGAAACATACAATTAAATACATGTGCAGAGAGTCAGTGAGTGGGTCGTGAGAGCCCCTCATCCCTGCAAGCTCACCAATCGTTCGTCGTTTTTCTCGCACATTCAAAGAATATATAATTTTCCCTTTTTTTTTTCCTTTTTTTTTTTATTTTGTTGCCTTTTCTTTTCTTTTCTCGGTGGGAAGGGAATTTAGTTCCTCTTCCCTCGGAGTCCTCTATAGCACAAACGGCCCAACAAAGAAAGTAAAGAGGTTAATACGTAACAGGAAGCAGCAGAAGAAAGAAACAAACACACACACACACAAAAAAAAAAAAATTAAACGTAATGGATGAGATACATAAAAAAAAAACAACAACAACAACAACAGAAACGGCGAGTGCTCGACGTTCCAACAGACGCTTTTCCATCTAAACTGAACTAGGAGTAACATGTATGCAAATATGAAAAACCACCCATTGCTTTCAGATACTCCCCGTGAGACTTCACTTCTCAAACCCGCACCGCATCTCTAATAACGTACTTTGAGGCTCAGAAAGAACACCTTCGTTGACATGCATCACATCCACGCACTCCGCGTGCAAATCATCTTTCCTGTCGTACTCGATCCCATAAGTGGGACGCATAAGATGAAGATGAGCCTCAAACTCTTCCAATCGCTGAATAAATGCCAGGTTAAGTGAGATGCAAGGCCGTTTCATACGCACATTTTCAAACGCCGTTCGAAAAGACTGCCCTTCAGAGGCCATTATGTACGCAATCACTATTGCCGCACTGCGGGAAATTCCGCGGCGGCAATGCACTAAAATCCTGCCCTGATGAACGGCGCTACGAATAAACTCAAAGGCCTCATCAAAATATCGCTCCAAATCCTCATTCTGGCTATCGCTCAGCGGGATGCACTTACTCTTCACAAACTGTATGGATTTCATCCGGCAAAGTTCCTCCTCCGGAATTAACTCACGCGCCACATTTAATACATGAGTGATGCGATGCCGGCGTAGCAACTGTTCATCCGCGGCATCGCGCCACGTGCCAATAAAAACCCTATTGTTGATGTCGGTGATAGGGTGGCACGCGGCGGCATTACACACCTCTTCGTTTTCAACGTCCATTATCACGTCTGTGTACTGCCGGACAATATCCAGGTTAAATGCAGGAAGCATATTCGTCGCCATCTTCTTCCTGCAGCGCGACATCATTCTCACAAAACAACAGCCGTATGGTTACGCACACACACACACACACAAACACAAAAACTCCCAATACACACAAATAATAACAATAATAATAATAATAAAGCAAAACAATAAAAATAAATGGTCCTTCTCCCTATATTTTCTCTCCCAGACCTCTCAAAGTACAAACAGAACACACAACGCAAAGAGTAGGTAAAAGTAAATATCCTTTTCCTTCTCGCCAAACAGCAACAAAAAAGCAGTCACGCAATCAACGACTTATGGACTGCCTATATATATATGTATATACAAAATGTAAAAAAGGAGACGCTGGAAGCCTGCACTGCGTCAGCCACTTCTTGGGTGTATTTTCGTGGCAGGCACCTCTATTGATCAAATACAATATTCACTAAGAGAGCGTAGAGGATAAAATTTCCACGCACCTCGGGACAACTTTGCGATATTCTCTGTCTTTCCTTACCTGTTAATGTTGTCCTATTGTTATTTAATGGTGCTGGCTCCTTCCTTTGCGTCTTTTGTTTGGGTTTACACCGTGCACTTCCTGCTCATGAAAAAAAAAAAAAAAAAAAAGGAAACAACAAGAATAATAATAAGGTAAAATAAAACATAAAGACAAGAAATATTTAAGAATGAAGAAAGTCTGAGTGGGTGTAAAAAATAAATAAATAAATAAAGAGAGAGCAGGCAACAAACTCTTTTTTTGTTTTTTTGTTTTTCATTTTTTTTGCTTTTCGTGCCAAATAAAAATAAAAAAAAATGAAAGAGTGGCACATATGTCCAGAAGATGGAAAAAGAGGAACACGCGTCCCCTCTCCTCTGAGCCCTCAATACAATGGAAGCGCCTCCCGACCTTTATTATTATTTTGGGCTTACACGCATAAAAAAGTAATTAAAAAACGGTGTAGAGGGGAAATGAGGCAGTTTACTGCGCACCCCACAATAACACCTTGCCGCCATCAATCATTAGCATCCACGTCGCCTCTTTCCACATCATCCCAGCGGTATGGAAAGTCGCATGCTGTCCACGAGACAACGTGTCCAATCGTCCGTCGGGGTGTTCCCCAAATTCAGATCGGGCGCCGTGTCGTCGCTCGCCGCCGCCCTTTCGGCCAGGAGTGCCTCCAACTCGGCAAGTCGCCCCAGTCGCTTTTCATCAACAGCAGACTTCAAAGCAGGGTACGCCGCCGCCCGGACAGTGCCGCAGTGTTCACACTGAGGGACCTGCGCACTTCGGCTGTGACCCCCGCAGCGACCACAACGCCACGGGGAATACGGCAGCGCTGGGGAGTCTGCCGAGCGTCGCGTTCCACAACCGCGGCGCTGGCAGACACCATTCCAGCTGTTGTTTACCGACAAACACACAACACAACGCCATGCACCGACCTCCATTGCAGGAACGGCAGGGTGCAGAAAGAGACAATGGGGACAGTTGAACCCTCGCACCAACCGGCCCTCGCAGTTCACGCAAACCCATGCCTCATGCTTCTCAAACAGAACCGGATCAATCCGTAACGCCCCACAACTTCCGCACGCCTCAATAGACTCGCGCCATGGAGGATGCAGAGTGCCCTCATTATCGCGATGATGATGCTGGCGTCCACACGCGTGACATAACCAAGGGCAATCCGGTAGGCCAGTAAGAAACTGACGAATAACCCCCAAAGTCCGCTTACAATTCTGACACCCTTCAACATCACTGGGTGTTAGCCAGTGACAAAATGGGCAGCGCAGCAGTCGGCGTTTCCAGGCAGCAACGTCACGCGGGTGAAATCCGTTGCACGATGGGCAGATATCCCCCACCGCCGTTGCTGTTGTCGCCGGCACCAGACGACGCGGCTGCAATTTCCATTCCGTGCCACAACTAACGCACTTGCAAAATGCGTGCTTCCGCCTCACACTGCATGCCCAGCACCACCGTCGAAAAGGGCTGTTCACCTCACCGCATCCACATCTCCACTCAAAGTAACTAGTTGACCAACCTTTGTTAGCAAGACCGCAATCACTACAGATTCCTCCTCCAGTGGCAGCATCACCACCCAGTGGAGAGTAGGAGAAACAGCCCTCACAGTACCACAGAAAGGGCGTCACTGGCAAATTATTCCAACCGGAAGCCGTGTCAGCACCTTCTGCTGAGATCCGGCACGAATGAGGACGGTGACAATCAATGCACTTATCCATGTAATCGCCCGAATTCGAGCACCATGAGCAATGCGGACAGGTCCACTCATGTTCCACCAAATTCCGCGATACGCAACCTATACAAGAAACATGCCCTACCTGAACAGAGTTCACAGTCTGACACCCACATCGCCAAGTTGAAAACGAGTTTCCACCGACTCGGCTCGAAGGCAACAATGACGACAAAAACTGCGACGATGGAACGTCACAAATGTTCAAACGTAGCGGACGACCAATGAAAGCTCCCCAGTTTTCCAAATCAGTGGTATAACGTTCCACTGACTCCGGTATCGTCACAACTACCTCAAGTGCAGCTTTTACACGTGCACCCAAGTTCAACAAACCATAACGTGTGGCAAAATAAGGATGACCATAGCTCTTTATTACGTCATACATTTCACTGCCAATAATTTTGCGTGGACTAAGAAGTATTTCCAGTTCATCATGCCAAAATTTTTGTTTAATGCCTTCACTCCCAGTATGAGTTTCAAGAGAGAGAAGCATCTCGGTAACAACAGCTACCGTACACACATCCAGAAGTCCACGCATTGGACCAAAATGCAGTCGTTTGCATTTGGCCAACATACTCTCTACTCCTGTATCGCGAAGAAGCCTCAGTAACCCCCATGCAGTCCCAGAAGCGACATTATCGTCATCGTTTACATCACCCTCATTCCCACATTGAGCGTGAAATAAACGCATCACATGAAGAATGGCCTCCCGGTATCGATCGCCCTCTGAATTGTCATTCTTCGCAAAGACGCAAACATTCATAAGTAGCGTAACAGGACGTGTCAGTGCCGTGCTGACGGAGGCTCCCTTCCAGCGCTGTTGGCGGAACAATTTCTGGAATGAAAAGGTAGCGTACTCTAGTGTACACGCCCATCGCTTGTCACGCTCCACCCCCGACTCGCGACGACCAGGGATGGTCAAGTAATATTCAAAAAGCTCTGCGTCATGCAACAAAGCAGTGCCATCTACCGGCATAACAAGTTCCTCACCGTCTACCACAGCACGAAGCAGCTCTGCGTATTGCATAAGACGATACTGTTCCACATATGACCTTCGAAGCTTACGAAGAAGCACAGGCGGCATGCGAGTCACAATGAGACCATCATCTAGTGGAGGTAATAGTTGTTGCACACGCGCAACATCGATATAATAATCACGCATCATCGTAAGAATCTCTCGATGGGCACTATCAAAGGTCCCAGTTTCTGTAAAGGCAGGATTAGAGGACAACGCAAAAAACACCTGATGCCAGTAATGCAGATTATCGCTCGGGTCATTCGGTTTTTCGTGCTCAATCACTCCCCGCCATGCAACGGGTGGCAAGGTCCGCAAGGCAGAAATGTCCCCTGGTGGTGGTGGTGGTGATGATGATGATGATGATGATGATACAGATACCGTGCCATCTCCCCATAGCCACGGCAACCAGTCAAGATGCACAGAAGGAACTAAAAAACGCGCTATTTCTTGACGCGTATGCCTATCTTCCAGCACACCGCGGCGGTGTAACAACAGCAGTAGGGTAACAAGAAGAGGACGATTGGCATTGTTGAGAAGTGCCTCCGGCGACTGTTGCACTAACGCTGTACTCGTGGTAATTGTAACAGGATAAAGCTCGGCGTCATCGCAGTCTGCCTGCATAACAAGAGCCATGTCGTTCGGCGGAGTATTCTTATGCGCACCACGTGCTGGCAGAAACCGTCGCACGACGAATTGGCATTTTGCGGCTCCCAGAGGTTTCCTCAGCATGTAAGGAGCACTTTATAAGGAACAGAACAAAACAAATTATAAAAAATGTAATAATAATAATAATGATAAATAAATAAATAAAGAAAAAAAAAAAAGAAACGAGTAAAAACACTCTCAGTTTATCAACGCTCTCTTATTCCTTCTCTCACATGTCTCCTCCTCGCTCTCATACACTCAAAACCAAACAATTAAAATAAAGGCACAAATCACGCACCCTATAGTACGGCATTTCAGCCAAACCTCATTTGGACAATAAAGAAGGGGTCTAAAACACCTTCTCTGCCAAAATATCAACTCGGAAAAGTATCCCACTGCTGACTGCACTGCCGCGGACACGGAGCAGGAAACACACACTGCAATTCAAAAATAGATATAACGATATTGTGCAAGCATATGTATATATTAACCCACAAGCAGGTAGAGTAATAATATAAATGGGAAAAGACATTTCAATAAGAATTTGATGTGCTGTTGACAAGCCCTGCCATATTCATGTCTCCCTGTTTATCAGATAAGTAACTAAAGTGGTGGTGATGGCGGTTTGATTCGCGATGCTGCAGTTCATTATCGATAATTTTGCCTGACGATTGCTGATTGAAGCGACTGAAGTTCATGGTGAGGGGTGGCGTTAAGGGTGTCACGGTGTCTTCTGCCAATTTATTTTCCGTTGGCGTTCCTCTTGCAGTAGTGCTTAGGCGTCGCTTCTGATCTTCACATGTGGTCAGCAAAGCAAAACGCGACTCCCGTACACGCGACTCCCCCGTAGAAGATCTATCTCTAAAAGGCTGTTGCGGTAATTCCGTTTGAAGTAATTTCAAAAACAAATCATTATCATTATCCCCATCATCCACGTTCTCTACAAAATGAAGCTGCTGCTGGATACTCGGATTACGGCCAAAAACGCCGTCAAGAATATGACGCATCTCGGGGCCGTAAATTTGAACAACCTCCTCCTCGCGCCGCGACAACTGAAGCCTCTTCTTCTCCATTATTTGCTCTTCTAGAGCCCTCTTCAACTCGCGTTGATTCTGCTGTTTAGCCTTTCGCATCCGCAATTTCTGCCGTTCAACAAGCAGATCTTGGGCATTGCGTGCGTGACGAAGAGCTTCATCGATGCCGTCCACACCACGGGGAAGCACGCCATGCTTATAAAGTTCATGTTGCCGTTTCACTTGATTTGCACGCCCCCCTTTAGAAACATCGCTGTTCACATTATAATGTTCCGCCCATGGCGGTGTTAAAACATACCTTCTCGTTTCTACAGCGGGCACAGGCTTGGGATTCGACACTGGGGCTTTGCGTAGAACCTCTCGACGGCTGCTGGGTGGAACAGGCGGCATACTTCCGGCCTTATCTCTACGTAATGGGGGACCCACAACCGGCCGCCACACCTTAAATCGCTCTTCGTCAGAAATATCCTCTGATTCAGAGTCGTCATGGCCCAGTTTCTCTTCCTGCCTTTTTTCCCGCTGTGAACGGCAAGTGGCCGCATTGCCTTCCACGTCCTTTTCCTCGCCATCCGAGTCACCCTCATACTTCCCCCGCCCAAACCAGAAAAGTCCGTATTTGTCGGCAGCGTCACGCACGTAGGATCTCGGTTTGGGCGCCCGACCACGAAGCAAAAATTGCTCCCGCATGCGGTTTTTTCTCTCTTGAGCAAGATGACCAACATACTGAGCCTCATCTAACACCCGATGTCGCTGCTTTTCCAACGACTGTCTCTCCTCTTCTGTCAACTGATTTTCGTCCTTGAGGGAGGAAAGTTGCAGGTACCGCAGAAGGTCAAACTCCTCCACATCCACCAACTCCATGCTTTGGGGGCAATCACTCGAGCACTTTTTCTCTCTTCTCTTTCGTCGTTCCACAATACAGGAAGAAAGGTTTCCTGCAGGACGCAGAGGCTCTCTTCCTCAACTTTCTATTCTTGCGGGAACGGGACCTCTGCGTGTTGCGCGCCTTCCGCAAATTCAATTCATAAGGATAGAAAAAAAAAAAGTTGGGAAGAAAAAAAATAGCAAGACGCCGCACAAAAATAAATGAATAAGGAAAAATGCCGCCACTTCCCAGCAAAAGAGCAGTTAACGCAACGTCGCCCCCTCGTTTTTTTGCTTTTTGCTTTTGTGTGCGTCTCTGTGTGTCCCTGTTTGGAGATGTTATTATTATTATTATTTCGCCGCTTTCTCCACAGAACTCTTGGATCAGTCTGAGTCGTCCCACTCGCTGCGCTCCGTCGGCTTCACCTCAACACGCTTGTCGTACTCGTAGCCAGAATCGCCGGGCCGCACAACTTTTTCCAGAAACTTCTCCTCCATCTTAGCCTTAAACTCCTGCAGAGTAACATCATCGGCGTCGTTGAGGTCCACATTATCCAGAGCGGCCTCTGGGTCACGGTAAAGAAGCCCTACATCGGCCTTGTTCAGAGCATTCAAGGGCTTCTGCGTCCTGTCCCTTCTTCTATCCAATTCTATTGCCGAAGCAAGCGCAGATGCCTGCTCTTTTTGTTGCTGTTTTTGCGGGTATTCACGACCATAATGACAATCCTTCATCGTGCTGTTCGAAGAGTGCCCTATGTCGCCGTCCTCTACGGCGTGCTTCATAAGGCTCTGAAGATGCACGAGACATGTGCGAAACCGTTCTTCGCTAAGCAGAGCACCATGTGTGCGTGCAAGGCGTCTGGCGATGGGTGCTGTCGGCCCAGTTTCGTGGAGAATACCGTCCAAATGAATGCGGCAACGCCACTTTTTTTCAGAACGCGTGTACAGAATGTCTATTTGTGCCGGCCGAGCACGGAGCCCAATAATATTTAGCGAAACGGATCCATTTCCATCCGTGTCAAACGTCCACCACTGCGACGGCGTCAGGGCATCCAGCACCGGGCGCTCTATAAGATCATCAACAAGTTCTTCCACAGTAACTGTGGCAACATCCAGCGACGCAAGCTCCTGTACGCGGTATTCGGTAAACCTCGCAAGTGCCTGACTTGGCACAGAAACGGTAAGCATCGCCGCACACGTTTGAAGTGCGTCCGCGTATTCCTTCGCCACACAACCCGCGGGGTACAAACTGCGCGTCACCACCTCAGCCTCCTCCAAGACCACCCGTTGAGACTCCTTCAGGCGCCGCCGCAAATCCCTATAGCGCGTGTTCATTTCCCGATACCATTGCGTGTTCAACAACGACGATGGGCTTCTGGCGATGAGGAGGTCTTCGCTGCTGCACACACATCGAGTACGTAGAGTCAGCTCACGAAACGCCACATCCGGATCACTTTTGTGTTTGTCATATAGGTGGTACACGAGAATCCACAGCTCCGGTCCCAGGTCTGTCAGGGATATGTTCTCACTCATCACGCACCTGTACTCGGCACCCTTTAGGGCCTTTGACCAACCTCTTTCAGACACTGTAAAAAAAAAAAAAAAATCAAGACGAAACCACACACGCACGCACACAGAAACATACACACCCCTCCAGCAAAGGGAATAAAAATAAAAATGTAAAGGTCAAATGGGTGCAATGAATGGAGCATCCCATACACGGTCGTCATATAGAAGTGGAAAAAACAAACAAGAAAAAACGGGTTGATACAAAAGGGATAATGATAGCTAACGTAATGGCGTAGCTACCGTGTTTGCCGCCTCGGCCTTTTTCTTCCGCGCCGTGCATATGTGTTGTTTGCAGCTCCACGAAGAACCGGCGGATCCAGCCATGATAACATCTTTAAACGCACCATCTCCCGTTGACGATAGCCCTCATGTTGACTAGAAGCTCTACGGTTTGCGTCAATGCGTGCAAGCATAGAAGTGGTACTTGCCACAAGACGCAGAGCCTTGGGTCGCATCTGCGGCGGGTGGTTGACAACAAGGTCCGAGTTACTGAGAAAGCCCGTTGTTCTAATTAGAACCCCAGAGGAGTCGGCGCGTTTGCTACCTAACCGTGCCAACTCAGTGGAGTCCATCGTGGAGAGCGCACTTACACCACCGGCGATGGCAAACAGTTGTGACGTAATACCCGTCCCCAAAAAGGCGCAGAGATTTGGGCAGATCAGAGGCATGGAGCGTTGAATATACTCCAGAAATGTCTGTTTTGCAGCCTCGAGAATGTCAATCTCCTGGCAAGCCTCGACTACACGATGCAGCTCCTCCTCACTCAGCTCCCTCCCCGCAGTGGTAGAGGCGCACGCAATCACAACCGCAGTGAGCTGCGAAGGTATCAACTCGTCCAGCTGGTCAATGACAACGGAGAGATCCATGTTATTTTGAATCAAGCGCACGATACGGGCATAAAGCACACTGTCGGAGAAGAACATAGCCAACTCCGGGAATCTTTGTCCATAGTGTGCCCGCAGGTACACGACCGCTTTGCTCTTCTCCACCTCAATACGCAAAACAAGAGTACTAGAATCAATTACAAATTGGTACTCAGGATCCTCCGGCAGGATGGTCTTCTTCACCACCTCTTGTTCACTGTAGTCGCCCAGCTTCTGCAACATCCGACTCATGTATGCTGAACGTAAAAGGAGGGTCACCTCCTTCACGCTATCGAAGCGAAGTGCGTCGTCATCAGATGCGATTTTCTGCGCTGTTGCAAGCGTCTCTTCGGCGTATATATCCGCTGCGTCCTCCGCTTCGCCATATTGTTGCGGCTCTTCGGCAAATTCTTCCCAGCCCCCCTCATTCTCATCCATCTTGATCCGGCTGCATTAAACAAAATGCAAAGAAATTTTTAAAAAATAATCGTGCATAAAATGAGGTGCGCAAGGAGGAGAAGAGCAAGAAAACGGGAACAAGACAGTGCTGAACCCAAAACTAAAATAACAACAAGATAATTTTTTAAAATGTAAAAAAATTAACAAGTGTATGTCACGCCGCCTCGTGTTCTTTTCTCGTCCCCACTTCGCCCGCTCGCCATCTTCCTCCGTCGTCTTCTTCCACTGTATATGCGAAAAAAAAAAAACAAGGGAGAGAGCGCATGAAAGCCACGGCAACACAATCACAAACAAA